TTTGCTAACAAATTGATTCAGGTGGTTTCATTAGAGTAAAATTACTCATTGTGTTTGATCAACAAAATTTAAGGATGTGCCGAATACAGCGTTTAAAAAAAATTCGTGTGATTTTGGAATAAATACGTCTCTGGTTAGGCAAGTCACAGACTTGTATAGATGCACTAATAGCTCCTTAGATTTAAATATCAGGCCTTCATTATTAAAGACAGAAAATTATGCATCCAGACTTCTGAAAGGATTGATGTGATTTCAGCCAGTTTAAATTCTATGAATGCTTTTGTGATGCAGTGCATTTATTTTCGGTGTATAGCGTTCCAAATAGATAAGCGATGCACTCAATTGAAAGTCATACGAAAAATATACGATTTATAGGTAAAAATATATTGCTATTAGTTAATTGGCAAAATGAATATGCCTGGGAATCCGGTCTATGCATGAACCGGATGCACTATTATATATGGATTATCGATTCATATTTTGATCGAATCCAAACATTTCTGTGCCAACTACAATAGTAAACACTAAATATAAGTAGATGTAAAAAAAAATCTATTTCACAATTATTATATTTATTGATACTTTATTTTTACTTTATTGCTATAAATTACTTCATTACAGTTTCAATGTCAACGAAAAATTTCATTAAATGTAATTTAATGTTTAAAAATAGAAATGTTTACAGATAACCGATTTTTACTAACATGACGATCGTATTGGTATTCATAATGAATATATAATATATTTGGCAATACATACTTTACATTTACACTGAATAATTGGGTTAAGCTCTTTGTTAAAGTTCAAGTTCAGTAAATTTTCTAAAATGATTTAAATTTTGGGTTTCGATTTTGAGTCTCATTTTTACGGTTACTGAATTCGAATCGACGACATGCGCTGTCTTGGTTTATGTAGCTTCTTTGACTCCGTACTTCCGGTTCCACAAATGGGCAGAGAAAAAGCGTTTGATTTGAAATTCAAATTCAAATTCAATTTCAACTACGGCAATTATTATTCCGTACTGTGTGTGGAAATTTTTACTAAATTGTTTTAATGTATTTTTTATTATAAAATTAAAAATTAAAACACAATTTAATAGCAAAAGCGGCGTCTAATAATGAATTAATTAATACATAAACACAGACCCATTCATTTACTATGAAGTACGTATAATTGCTGAGATTTTTTTTCTTATATTGTTGCCGCTTATTGCCTCGTATTTAATTAATTCTCATTACTTATACACAAATTATGCAAGAGGAAATGTTGTACTTCGCATTCAGATACATTTTAACTTTATTGGAATAATTTCTGTATTACGTTCATCACTAATTTGTTTTAAGAGTTGTTTGAGAAATGTTGACATCACCGAAATGTTTGACATTTATGGAACTATAATTGATTTTTTAAACTTGTTGAACTTATTAATTGATTGCAATTGTGGGTGTCACTTAAAGTCTTATATTTGAAATAAATCGCTTTCAGTCTAAAAATATTAAACCAATTGAATTTACTGGACTCTGGTTAGGTAAGAGCACTATTTCTTGGTGAAGGTGAGGCCAACAAAGTTCAAAAACTTTTTGTAAAGTGCCACTTAAATACAGTTAAGATTTTTGTACATTAACGTCAAAACTGATAGATATTTTTGTGCTGTGCCAATATATGTATGTACGCTAAAGTATTCAATAATTTTTACTAGTAGATAGTAAAACTTAATGACCTAAATTTAACAAAACCAAAAAAGATTGCATAGAACAGCGTAGTTAATCAGTAGAAGGTTCATAAAAACGTCTTTTAAATGATTAACACTTTTGTTCTAATTAACTTTTTATTTTTAAAAATAAATAAATAAAATTTTCAGGCTTAAGTTTATATTACAACACTTGATTGATTTAATGTGTATTTTATGAAGATCTTTTGTTACAAATCGACTGATCAATATTACAGTCAAATACTAAATTATTTGAAAAATCAATTTAACTAATGTTTTAAGACTGCTTAAAGCTTTATTCTTGAGACAGAAACGTAAACCAATTTTTTTAGACATTTTTAAAAGCGTATTTTTAGACCAGACTAATAGGATTTAAACCTAGATATAAAGTGCTGTTTTAAACCTATTTTAGACCTAGACCTAGACATGACATCTTAGATAATTTTTAAACATTTGCTGTCACTTTTAATTGACTGATACTTTTTAATTCGATATCTAGGGAAAAAATTGAATTTTTAATTCTGTTTTTTAAAGCATATAGAAGAAGGCTTTGCTAACTATATTCTAAAAGCATGAACTAACAATGTTCAGTAGGTGCAAAAGTCTCAAATATAATCTGGTTGGTATAAGTTAAATACTAGTGATCAGATAACAAAAAAATTATGCTTATGCCAGACTGCAAAATCTGAAAAGTTTTTGCTGGATTTAGTTATAATAATGCTACGAGGTTTTTAAGTTAAAACAAACCTGAACTTAGACTAATCATTAGCTTCTTAATTGGACATGGTCCTGTTAACTATCAACTTTAAAAAATTAAGAAATTTTATGAAATACAGATTAAAACTGCCACGTATCTTATTTTTTAGTGTCCCACTTGTGTCAGTCTTAATTTGCATGGTTTAGTTAGGAGTCTTTCTATAGCAAAATATAAAATATCTTAAAAATCGCTGTGAACAATTGTTATTTAAATAAAATAAAATAAAAAAACTTACAATTTTTTTATAGCTTCAAATATTATTACTTGTATATTGTTATATTTTATATTTAAAATATAACCTATAATATATAAAATAAAAACTACTAATAAAATAAAATTTCTTTAATTAAAAAATAATAAATTTATTGATCTTAAATTAAAATTTAATTATTAATTTTTTTCTTTATCAATAACCGTGTCAGCCACTCAACTAGTATCTTAATATAACTTCCATAATACTAAAATAATATATAAGTAATTTAAACCCAAGATTAAGATAATTTTGCATCTATCACCAGTGAAGTTAATTTCCCATTCAAAAGAAAATTATTAATATAACAAAATGAGTTCATGAATGCTGCTAATGTATTATGGTAGTGACATATCTTGGACAATGTGTATATGACACATTTTAACTCTGTCACTGTCATTTTGCAATAAAACTTTGAAAAACTTTACAAAGTGAAACTTTGAATACGTACTGGGTATTATGAGTTAAATCATTAGTTAAAAAAAATGCATAATATTTAGTAAATGTAGACAATTATCATTCAATGTAAAATTATGTCAGTCAATGTCACACTGACTTAAGCAACATTTCTTTTACAAATATTAATTTTGCGGCACCAAAGTCACACTGAGTAATAACACAAATGAATGTAATTAGGTTTCATTTTCTAAAAATAATGAAAACAAGTACATATAAGTAAAAAAAACCGAAATTATAATCAAAAAACAACAGAAGTTTAATATAAACGAGAAGTATCATTTTTAAATATTGAGTTCTCACATGCGGAACAGACAGATTTATTTGTTAGAGCAAAATCGAACTTAAAGTTGGCATAAGTCTGCGTAGGTGGCAGATTTGGACTACAGTGTAAGTGTCACATGTTTCGTTACTAATACGACTACATTCAAGTGTCAACTTTTACTTTTGTATTACAGTTTTTATTTTTACTTGTAGTGTTCAGTATGCAGTATATAGTAAAGACTGTCACTACCTACTTTGAAGATATATCACATTATATACACCAAAAATGTGGCAATTATTAAAAACAATTGATATTGGGTATTAACAATAACAAGATAGAAAAATAGAAAAACTGAAAATGTATAAAACATTAATAAAACCAATCTTTATCAATAAATCATACACTCCTCCTACCCAACAGATACTAAAACAGCATTGAAATTCAGCTGCAGCTGATTTGAATCTAGAGATTGTTTAAAAAACATTTTGTTCGCATTGCAACATAAGTGCAGTTAAGCTTTTGTTTCAGTTGCCACTTGCTGCATGATAGGTATAAAAAAATTTTGTTTAAATAGTTTTGGAGTATTTCGCTATAAACAGCATTTGTTTACTTTTATATTGCAGATAATAGCTAAGCAATCAGACAGACAGACAGACAGACAGACAGACAGACAGATAGTGAACCGCGAAATATGTTTTCAGCAATGCTTAAGACCGCAACATGTTGACAATTATTACAATTGACAGCAAAGGCATGACGATATACTGGTGAGTGAAAATGTATGCTGCAAATGGCGCTTATTAAAATTTGTCCGAGTGCAGTAAGCAACAGGTTACTAAACATTATCTTGAAATATTGCTATGCAATTGCTTAAAGTCATACATTTCTGAATGCAGATAAACCTACCTTGCAATACAATATAAACTGAAGAGTGTGAATAATTTAATGACATAAAAATACATACAAAATTATAAAGTATTAACTAAGTTTGTTATAAATTGTGTTTAAAGCAATTTCATATATTAAAAATGTGCATAATTTACAAATTATTGCAATAAATTGTATTTTCACCTTTTACGTACTCAACCATACCACACCATACAATAAAGAGTCAGCAAATGATGATTTATCGTGCGGCAACTACTCGTATAATAAAGAAAGTATATGAATGTCTAATAAACCGAAATTTTGAACGTTGATTGTATTTCATTAACAGTAAAGACAAGTAGTAAAAAAATTAACAATTATTAACAGGTAGAAATGCTATAAAAGTCGAAATACCAAATAATCAAAGCACAAATAGTAAA